AGTTCGTATAGTAGGTGCTCAATAAATGATCACAATCAAGTGCATGTAAACCACTTTCCCCATTATGCTTCTCAAAACAAATATTCGGAGAAGGAAAAGCTCTCTCTTATTATATATTATTACAGAGTTGTCCATATATGCATGCAAATGCAGGAGCAGCGATACAGAATTTGCATACCGTCTCCCATCCCTAATTCAGTGGCACTTCAGTTTATGATTCTTATTTTAACTATCTTTGGGAATTCAAATTTGTTTATTACATCAGAAATATTTTTGATCTATTGTAGATTATCATCAGCTTGAAATTTATAATTATTTGAAAATGGAATGTTTGTTATTAAGCAAATGTAAATTGAATACTGATATTGAACATTACATAATGTATAAACAAGTTAAAATTCAATATATCTACGCATTCGCCAAAAGAAATCAAATAGAAAAAATACTGTTGTTATGATGATAAAAATAAAACGAGTATAAAACAGAAATACAGGTAACTCCTGTATAACACGGGAATTATGTTCCAAAAAATTGCTGTGTTATGCGAATCCATGTTATACGAAACAAAGAACTAGTGCGAAAAGGGAGTTAGGTTCTAAAAATTAAAAAATGTTCTGTTAAATCCTTATTTAAATCGGATTTATTATTCATGTTTTTCATAAGTAAAATACTTATTTATTACTTAAGTAAATATTTTACCAGAGGATTATTCATCCAATATGATGATCTCAACATGAGCATCATCAACTGGTAACAGTTTTTGGGTGCTTTCGTTAATAGTGGTCACTCTGCAACGGGAGTGCGCTGCTGTTTTTTAGGCATTTAGGAACGATGATGAAAGAAAGATGGCGGCGCCTGCACTATCGATAGTCTCGTGATGGAGGAATCTATAATTCTAAAATGAGCTTTTAGAGGCAAAAGAAGGGTCCTAATTGTAAAATTTAACCAATAAATGGATTATTTGTTGAAAGAGCATTCAAATTAGCCACGAAAACAATTAGAATGCTCATGCGGAGGTATAAAAGAACACCCCTTTATTACATTTCATGTTGTATGATGGTTTACCCAATTCCTGAACTGTGTTAGAGTGAACCCGTGCTATAAAAGCATTGTGTTATATGAAGATGTTCCCAATTCTCTAACCGTATTAGAGTGAATTCATGCTATAGAAGTGCCATGTTATATGAGGGTTACCTGTATATATAAAGAGCACTTTGCATGATTTGTTTTATTATTGAAAGTACTCCAAAATATGTTTTTGTACCATAAAGACATCATTTTACTTTTGATATGTATTTAAAAACTTGTTAATATAGAATATTATATACAGTGCTTTACACTCAACAGCACTATAAAATCATTACACAATAACTAAGTATGCCAATCAAAGCTTTGATAGTCCCAGTAAATAATTTAATGTAAATTTAATGAATTGTTTTGCTCTTACACAAAACTATTTTGGGTTAAATGACTCTAAGAAAATCCGATACATGTTACTAAAACCAACCGCTGGCATATGCCATCAGGCTGTTCAAAATTGTAAATTGGAATGCACCAAAATTTTTCAAATGTTTGGAGTAAAATAAATATATATAATAAATAAATAAATAAATAAATAAATATATATATATATATATATATATATTTTTTCAATTTTATATTTTATGAAGATTACAAGCTTTTCTTGACGTTTGAACTGTCTTTCTCAAGCATAATATTCATAATTTCTACAAAAGTGACTTGCAACCCTTAGGGAGATGTATCTGGTAGATTGATGTAGGAAATACATTGTTCTTCTGACAATCCAACAGGAAGTTGTATTAAGTCCTAGCCACATTGTATTTACGTCTCCCTAAGGGTTGCGAGTCACTCTTACCGAGATTACGAACATTATACGGGTAAGGGGTGTCTGTTAGAGTTAAGTCAGTTATGTAATAAAATAGGTTCTCCTAATGCAAGTGTTAGATAAAAAATTGACAAATTACTTAGCTTATTTTTTTACATTTAAATGCAAGAACAAAACTTAATGAATTAAACTTCAAACCTATCCATTGTGATAATTTCCTTGTACACCACATTCTTCATAAAAATTCTGTCCTCGGTTAGTTTGCAGGGATGGTAGCAGATGACCACAGCGACGACACAAAGTACAAAGTTCCGAGGAACGTTACTAGCGGTACTGAGTGGCCACGATGTGGACAAAGTGACAAAAAAATGTGGGTTTTTATTATAGTAATATACAATTTGTTCATTAACTGAATCTATTTGAATTTTAATAAGACTTGAAAAGTAAGATATTGTTATTGTTCATAAACAAATCCAGAATTTAATTTTTTGCTTATAAATGGTGTAAATAACTCAAGACGTATCCATTAAACTAATGTAAATTATATTACTAAATTGTCAAAAGATGATATTAAGCATTCCTTTAAATGCTTTTGTTTGACTGTTAGTTGTTCTATGAACCTATATTTGATTTTAAAGTTATTAGGTGTAGAGCTGATGATGAGATATAATAATCTCAAAATGTTTCATCAAGTGATATCTTGTCAATCCCGGTAGAAAAGTGTGTTGGCCGAAGAGGTTAAGATGCTAGATTCCGAGGAACTGGGAATTGAATTTGGACAGTTTCTCTCAGATATGTTAGTCCCTACTCCGTCAACCCAGTTGAATCCATGATGGGTATGGCTAAAAGGATCTCCTAGTGCCCATACAGCAGAGTAGAAAAAAAATGAGATTCAGATAATATAAAGCACTTCAATCATGCAATTATACTGGAAAACCACTGTCAGAATGTATCGCATAAATGAAGTTCATTTGATATTTCATTGTACCCACTTTACATATTTCAATTCACAATAAAGCTATTCAATCAGTTACATGATTGTGTGATGATAAATGCTTTTTATTATCAATATTTTGTGAAAGATCAGTGATGGATTAAGGAGTTTCGGGATAATGTGCATGAAACTGAAGGAGTAGAAAATTGACTGATTCCACGCCACATTTTTAAAATGTCAATGGTTATGAAAATGTGGCATAGAATCAGTCCGATTGGTCTAGTGCAGCAGTCGCCAACATTTCTGACCTCACGGACCACTAAACTCACAATTTTGAATCCTGCAGATCACTATCGTGAATTTTTTTAAACGATGCAAACGTCTATAGAATAATGATCATAAAAGTCCCATTTTACTTTATTAATATGAAATTCACTTGTTTAATTATAACAAATTTAGTGTGAAGTTTGTTGTTGCTTGTTCGAAATAAGTTTATGGGATTCTTGGCTCTCTTCCAAGGAATGTAATTGCATTCACATTATTTGTTCATAAGTCATTTCATATTCGGTTTTAGATTTGAATAAAAAAGTCCCAATGAATGAGAAAAAGCAACCAATCATTTTGCATTTCTTTCGTATTACTTTGCATAACCTCGAGTCGATCGATGTCCAAATTTCTCCAAGGACCACGAAAGTTTTCTTGCAGACCATTGGTGGTCTGTGGACCACTGATTGGCGACCGTTGGTCTAGTGGGCCAAAGCATGAACCCATTTTTAAGATCAGATTACACAATATGACTACCACTGACATTTTCTCACACCAAAAAGTATATTCTACAAGATTTGTTGGTGATTCTGATGTTTACATGATGCACTGGAATACTCTAACTCGCAAACCTGAATGAGAGCATTTGTTTTTCTCAAATATGGTAAGAACATGATATAACACTGTTCTTATTTTGTCAGATTGGTTCTATGATATGACAATGAGAAAAATCTGTTGGATTAGATTTTCTACAACACCATTGTGACTTGTGACTTATTAGCAACTTTGGTTTGAAAAGTTTATTCAAACAAAGAAAATCTTTATGTATTGTGCTTTCAAGAGACTACAAAATGCCAAAGGTAGTCATATTGTGTAAACCGGCCTTTACACGTATGCAGTTTTTAAGCAACGCTATTATTGGATTTCTTGAAAAGGTGAAAAGGGGCAAGACTTCCAACAAGTTTTTTGTGGAGCACTAGAGACATTTTTTTCTTCCTCATTTTTAAGCAAGGGCTCACAGTAGAGCAGCCAGATGGTGAGGGACACTGTCCAACATAAAACTACGGATATTAGATCTATTTAAATGTAAAACAAGACATTCTTTACAGAATAGATGTGGCTGACCTTTGGGTTTTACACAACTTGCAGCCAACATGTAGGGAAGACAGCAGACGAAACTTGAAGGGTAGAAACTACAGATGACAGAATGTCAAATTAGACAGATAAAGTAAAAATACTTTATGCTTTTATTGAGGCATTTATTTTAGCAGAAAATAAGTTACGTGGGACATTGCTAGGACCTAGAGTTCATTAAATTGGGAGCCCTGTACGCTTGCACACTCTTCACATTAGTAATCTGCCACTGGCAAAAGCATACTTTCACTAAATTTTTATTAAAAAGAAAAGTTAAATTAATTACATGTAAGTAGAGATTTTCATTGTCAATTGCAACAAAATTCTTTTCACCATAGATCTTAACATAAAGTAATTATTGTTTAGTAAAAACTTTATGTTCATAATGACTAATTACAGAAAGCATTGTGCGACCAAATGAATTTACAATACTATTCACATTGACACTACAGATTTTAAATATTTGAGTCGGTGTTCATTGCTGATGATCTACGTAACATATATATGGTAATCAAATGAGAAGTTTGCTTGCAAAGAATAGACTTAGCAACATTGGCAAGGAATTTTGAATGTAATTACTAAAGTCTATAGTGAATAAATGTTGTTGATTTAAGTATTTCTCATGACACAACAAAGCAGTAACAAACTAGCTCACAATGTCAGCAAATCTACTTCTCGCAAGTGAACTTTTTGTTTGATTGTTGGTATTATTATTATTACTATATTTTTAAAAGATACAGATAAATGATTGGCTAACAAATTCCACTTTAAATAAAAATTTGAACAGTTTTAAAATATTTAAAATTTTGTATTTTTACTTAGGATGAATTCCATCCATTTATTGAGGCCCTTCTGCCTCACGTCAAGGCCTTTTCTTACACATGGTTTAATTTACAAGCTGCAAAACGAAAATATTTTAAGAAACATGAGAAACGAATGAGCTTAGACGAGGAAAGAAGGTGTAAAGAAGAATTAGAGGTAAGTAATTTTACTTTAAAATTATCAAAATAATGTTTATTTGTGTTTTCAAGATTTTAATTTTTGGTAAATTTTCGCAAACCTACTGAGCATTAATCGGGTTTGCAGACTGCCGAAAAAAATTTAGTTGTTGAATTTTAATTTTATTAGACTGAAAGATTGGAAGTTAAACAGAAATGGGCATCACGCTTGCTAGGTAAATTAAGGAAAGATATTACTCAAGAATATAGAGAAGATTTTGTGCTTGGTATTACAGGAAAAAAGAGAGCAACATGTGTCTTAAGTAATCCAGATCAAAAAGGGAAAATGAGACGCATTGATTGTCTCCGACAAGCTGACAAAGTAAGTGTTTTGTTTCGTAATTAGAAAAAAAAAACAAATTCAAAATCTCGAACCGAGCAGAAATTAAGGTATCTAGCTCTTTTAATTACATATTTTGTACGTAATTACATCGGTTAACCTTAGAATTAATATCAGATTAAAAATCAAGTATCATTAGGTTTTGTCTTAATCTGTTCAGAGGATGGGATTAGCTTATTTTAAAATCTAATCTAAAAATAGATTGAATTGCTCCAGTGTAAAAGCTTTAGACCTTTCAGCTAAAAATTTAATTCCATCTCTCAGGTACAATAAGGTGGTAGAGGTCTAATTAGAGTAACAGTGCAGACTAGACACTGTCTCTAAACCTGTCTAAACAATATGCTTTGTTGACAATATGCCAATTGTCTAGATTAACTTAACACATTTTTTTCTTTATAGAGAACTTTAAAATCTATTTAAATAGTCTGTTTCTATCAAGTGTGCAGAATGGTGTCGAAATTTATTCTTCTTTTTGTGCATACGTGTACACGTACACATCATACTTTTATGATCTAATTAGTTTCTTAACAACTGTCATTAATCAAACCATTGCTAATCAGACTGTTTTCTCATGTATCTTGTGTCACAAGTCGAGGTTTAATTCAGTTATCACACTAAAATAGTATAAAAAAATACAGCTGTCGGCAGTGTATAACATTCATTCGAGCAATGTCCGATTGCATACGCAGCCTCGATCCCATAATATCGTAATAGCGAATAAGATTATTAAACTGTAGAACAGGAAATTTTGATCACAAAAAGTTTTTGGAAATATTGGCCTAATCTGATGAGAAAATAGTTTGGATGTAGAAGCTTATTAAGAACTTGGTGAACATGCAATTGTGCTGCCAGTTATAAGATTTTTTGTATAGCCAGCATTGCCAGATGCTGAAATTTAAAGTTTCCAGAAAATCTTGCAGTGCAAAAAGTTCACAAGTACTTTTTTGATACAGATACATCAAAATCATATAAACTCCATGTTTAAAATAAAAAATCAGTTGATAAAGGTATTTAAGTCTCATTCGGACAGTATGTTAGTTTTTGGTTGTAATGCAAATTAAATGCAGGAGTGCGCAAGTCATTGTACTGTACTAATTAACCAGCAGCTTTAGATCACATGATGTTTACATTCATGCCGGGGCCACAGGACTGTTCCCTAACTGCCACTTAATCGGCACGGGTTGTTAATTTAAAACCCGATCTCGGTGTTGTCGGTTGGCAATAGGAGGGCAAAAACGAGTGGGGAGTACATTGGTAAGTCGATAGGTGTACTTGTGCCAAGAAAGACAGGTTAACAGGTTCAATAAAATAATAAAGCATTTATTATGTGATTAACTAAAAGATACAACAGGCTACAGATAGTTAGATACAAGTTACATGTGGCTAAATGTGGTTAAATGAGGTTAAAAAGTAATAATTCCGACGGAGCTATGATAGTTATGCCTAATTCTGTTCAGAGAGTTCACAGTCCGCTTACATTTACCTCCAATGTGGGTGAAGAGCTATATGCGGCAATATACAGTTCTACATGGAAGTATTGGGAGTCAATGTTTTTACCAGGACTGGATCAAGTCCATTGAGTGTTGGTCCAGGAGACGGAAAGGCACTATTACCAAATATAACTTCCAAGTGCGAATTCTCAAGCTTTCAGTAGCTCTTGCTTTTATATAATTGCCATGGGAAAGGGATCACTTGATTGTCTGTTCTTGACGATGATGGTGAATTCTTGACAACTAGGTGTCAATTTTTCCACTAACGTGTTGATGTGACCGGTGACCTGCGATCTGATTCTCCATTTTTTTCTAAGAGGATGTTTACATTTCCAAACATTACAGTTAACTTTAATTATGAAATCCCCCTAAAAAACTGCAGGCTCACATATTACTTGCTATAACTTGCTATAAAGAAGTGAGTGGCATCCACGGATTTCGTGGGAGTAATTGAAAATAAAAGGGGAAAAAGATATGAATGTAATTGGAAAATGAATGCTAAAAAGACTAATAAACAATGTCATAAGTATTCATAAGATTATGGGTTATGATTGGAAAGGATGATTAACTATTATGTTCATATTTCACTGATTACTTTTGTTGATTATGTAGTTCTGTAGCATACCGAGATATGACAGTGTGAAGGTGAGGGTAAGATTGATAAGGACTGTACAAATTAATATGGTACAAAACAGATTTAATCAGAGAACGATATAATTCTGAGGTTCATTTACATTTAAAAATATAGATGGGAATTCCGTTGCCCTTTCTATCCCGACAAGAGAACAAAAAAAAACAATCAATTATAACTTACGCAATGCGACAATCAGGGATCCTTTAGATTAGGACTAGTACAATATTCTTACAAGGACGATGATAGTTGAGCCCTCTGTGTGATGTCTCTCTTGCTATGCTGATTTCCACTTCCACGTGGTTGTTCCTTCCTTCCTATTTTTATCTGCACTCCAACTCGATTCTTCTGTCGCAGACTGGACACGATCCGGAAGAAAAAAGGTACACTCATACACGTGGCCCTTCCATTTATAACCCGCACCATATACATGATGTGGTAACATATGTCAGAACTCGGGCCAATCAAAAGCTCGCACCACCACATCGCAAGATGTGATACATATTTACGGAATAAAGTTACAAAACACCCCGATACGCGACAATACGAAATATATAGTGATGACATTACATATACTTAGTGATAATCACTACAATTATACCTGTTATTATTTTGACTAAAATATTGTATTTCTTTAATGTACAGGTTATTAACATTGAAATTATGTAAGTATAGTGCTATAGTGTACATCATATCAATAAATTAAGCTATTATTTGATACTATAGCAGAAAAATCTACTACAATACTGGGTTATATTTTGCAGCTAAATACCTATTCTATATGGAGACAACCGTAAAACATGTCATATTTTAAATGAGTTTTGATTCCCTTTCCTCTTTTTCATAAAACTTTACCATTTGCTGCATGTATTATGTCGTAACATTCAAATCTCCTTCCCTTAAATGTGTGACATACCTTATGAATGTTCCTTACACTAATGCAACCAGTATTATTTTATGAAATAATATTATTATTATTATCTTTAACAAATTGTATTTAATAATAATTTTCGTGCTCCATGTGTGATTTATATAAGCAATAGAGAAGGATTCACGAGAGATACCTGATTGCAGGTATGAGTGTAAGGATAAGCTTGCCGATGAGGAAATCTGAACTATTCATCATCAAGCTTCTTCAATATGTTGATAACGAGGTAGCAAAATGTCAGTTCTATCAGAATCTAACAGGTGATAAGGGGAAAGGGAACAGACAACCACTGAAACTAAGAGAATGACTAAACATAACTACTCATTGCTTTGTTTTTAAACTGCTTATGAAAAGCTTTAAACTTATTTTTATGTCTACAGATTTGTGCCTATTAACTTGGAAATGATTTTTTAAAAGTACAAGATCAGGACTTGTATACTTCTTACCATAATATTTCAAAATGTTTACAAGTCTGCACTTCTTAATTTTTAAAAAAAGATCATTATATTGATCAATTAAAGTGAAAAATCGTGATGTATTGGATCATTTTATGACTTATTCTTTAGTTTAATATAATTTAGCCTGCCAAAATGTAATTATTAATATTTCAGGACAACTTTGAAATCTTATTTTGTGTTTTTCTCAATTTATATAACGTATGACTTGTGCCCTTTTTGCACTAAGGTCTTCAATTAATACTATACATATGGCACTCCTTAGCTATATAAGTTCTTGACCTAACCTATTGCACATTACTGAAACACATGTCAAGACAAATGTATAAAAAATTATTACCTTATTAGTGTTTGATGCAAATTTAGTGGCTGTAGTACTAAAAAGTGATTTATAGTGGACCTCTGTATGTGACATGACAGCAAATTTTAAATTAGAGTGTAGGCTGTCGAGTTTCTTACAAAAGAAGGCCAAGCACTCATGAAAATAACCAATGTCTAGAGAAGCTTCATGACCATATACCACCATCAAAGAATGGGCAAAACGTTTTTGATTGTGACAAGAATCCCTTGAACATGATATGAGTTTTGGTTTGTCCGGTAAGTGTGGCAATCTTGGAAAAAATTGATGTGGTGGAAGAGCTGGTTCTTTTGGATTGCCAGTTGGAAGTGAAAGAAATAGCAGCAATGATTGATCTATTAGATAAGATGTTTGCTCTTGCCTAGATGCTCAGGAAGTATATGCCAAAGTCAGCTGAAGATGGGTTCCCAAACTTCTTTATGTTGTCCAATGGCACAAGTATAGAAAGTGAGTTGTTGGCGTTGGATCTCTATGAAATGGGTGAAGTTGATATTTTTTGAAATCTGTTAGTACAGGGAACAAAGCTATTGTTCTGTATTATGACCCTTTTCCAAAATGGAATCAATGGAAAATGAAGACCATGGGAGAGAGCTCCAAAAAAGGCTGAAGTATTGCCATTAACTAAGATCATGGCCACCGTTTTTGGAACAGTGAAAGTGTATTGATGGTGGACTTTAAATTAAAAAAACACTGTTGTAAATGAAAAATATTATTCAATGTTATTACATCAGTTGTGTGCAGAGATGCATGAAAAATAATGAATAAACTTAATGAGAGAAGGGAACATATTGCATGACAATGCACCCATCCCGAATGGTAGCATTTGCTCAAGCTGCCGTTTGGGACTGTGGCTTTGAGCAGCTCAAATACTCATCTTACAGCCCAGATCAGGTCCCGTCAGAGTATTCCTTGTTTCCAGATTTAAAAAAACTCTTTGAAGAAGACATTTTGACAATGATGAGGAGCTGCAGTCGTCATCATGTAACATATTTCTCTATTTCATGCACGTAAGATTTGGCCTAAAATTTCAAAATACATTATTATAATACATTTGATAAAATTGCCAGGACAGTAATTGTAAAATTAACAAGTTGTTTTTTTAATTAAAAAACGTCATTCAATTCAAAACATAACTTCTTTTCAGTAGTTTTTTTAATGTTTTGAATAGTGAAGCAGACGAATGGCCTGTAATAGAAGGTTATCTCTGTCATAAGACTGTTATTTTCTTGAGATGTGAGAAACAACAATGAATTATTGGTTAATTTTACATTATTACAAATTAATATTTTTCACTCAAACAGATACTGTACATGGGATATTAAAAAAAAATTCCCTACCATCTTCACAAAGGATATTGTATTAAGAGCAATTTAATTTACTAAAGATCTAAATTCATTACAGTTATAACCGTGCTAGAGGGTTGTAGGCTATAACCCATCTCTGGTCAGTGCTACAATTAACCCATATAGCTTATTTTAAAGCTTTTACTTCACAGTTTGTTTGCATAAAATTACGTTGAAATATCTGCAGATAAAATGCATATCAGGTATATTATTCTTTTTGTTTTATGAAGGATGTAATGCTGTACAAACAGTAAAAACTACTCAATGTATATGGGGAAGATATTCCTAAACTTCAAACATGTGAAATACGGACTTAAAAGTTTCGTTCGGGAAATTTTGAACTAAAGGATACTAAATGTATGGGATGCACACACTGTTGACGAAGCGAAATTGCAGGAAGAATTGTTAAAAATGAACTAATAACAACTCGTGAACTCGCAACAAATCTTAATGTGTCACAGACATGTACAGTAGAGCGTCGTTTATCTGAAGGTCGGTTATCTGAAGGAATTCCAGTCGACAAATTTAAATTTTTGCCAGTGCTGTGGCGCTGTAATCTTTGGCTATGTCAATATTTTACGTTTTTGATACTAAATTAACTTCTGAAGTATAATTTTTTATTGTTTTTATATTTTTCAATATATTTATTTTGTTTGTACAAAATAAAAAAATAATTTTTAACGATACAATAGTCTTCATTTGGCTTAACATTGACAAAAATTCAACGGGAAGCAACATGCAACAGAGAAAAATTTCAACACGGGATAAATTAATATATTTTTTCGTACATAATTGGTTATCCGAAAAATAAGTTATCCGAACAACCTCAGTCCTCAATTGATTTGGATAAACGACACTCTACTGTATTGTTAAAACAGTTTTGCAGCCATTTTAAGTGGATAAACGTAATTTTTCATTTAATTCATGTGGAACACAAATGAACTAGATTGAATATAATTTTGTCTAATGAAGGCAGACAGCTGTAAGGTTTCATTTTATTTTTAAATTAGTTACAGTAGTCATTTTATCATAGAAAACTTTTTACGGATGACAAAATTTAAAGTTAAAATCAAATTTTTCAGTTAATAATAATAATAATAATTTTTTATCCAGTGGGTTGCGATTGTTTGATTGAGTACCCAGGTACCACTGTATTTGATTAATGTGATTTTGATAAATGCAATAGCCTCTAGTGATTGATTAATCGTATAAGAGAGCCACGTACATATCCATTATACAAAATATTATACAAAATACAGTTTTAACAGAGAAGCTGACTCTCTTGTATTTCTGATAGGCGACGTATGGCTCCTGTTGTGACAAAGTTTGGCCAGCCAATTCTATGACATGCTATTTCACTCATTTACTTGTCTGAAATAGAGATACATCTTGTCTGATGTATTTCTTGTCTGAAATAGAGATACATCTGTACTTTAAAACAGTCAATTTCGTTAAGTTTTTATTCATAAAAAATCAGTTCGAAAATTTGATGGTGTTTTTAAAATTCAAGAAGTGCAGGATATATTTCTATCCACTAAAAAGATTTTCATATATTTAAAAGTATATTACTTATTCTTCTAGTAATTTTCAATTTTAAATCTTCTTTATGCAGGCGGATTGTTAAAACGTCAGATTTATTGAAATCATTCATTCGGAAAAACGTGTTTCTGCTGTAATTGGGAATTTTATATGTAACGAAAGTACCGTACATGTATAAAATTTGGAAAGTTATACAGGTCCTTCCAAAAAGAATACTGCCATTTTAAATTAATCATTTTAATAATTACCTGAGAAGTATGTGTTGTATGCCAATCAACAGAATAACTGTCCAAATTTCGTTCCCCATCTTCGTTTTGTCTACTGCCTCTACGAAGTACTATAAGTGAAGCAGAGAAGGTATTTTATATTCTTCTGTCCACTAACTTGGAATTGGTGGTCATTGTGCAACATGAATGATTGCCTTACATGGTGGATCTCTTTGAAATTGATTCAGACAATTTTACTTTGTCATTCATGTTTACATGTTGCGCAATGATAACTGATTCCAACCTTGTGAATTGAAGAACACAAAACAGGTTGTTGTGGAGTAGCCATTTTTGTTTTAATTTCCTAGATGCAGTAGACAAAAAACATTTTGGATGCAGTTGGAAGATGAAACTCTATACAGTAACTGTATAATGCGTACTTTTTGGGGTAATAATTAATATTGGTACCGTTTTAAATTGCTGTAATTTTCTTCTGGAACGTCCTGTATATACTTCAATATTATTAGTAATTAGCAATCTATAGATTAAATTTATTGTACGTATTTATATATTGATTTTATTATTTAACCAGGTATGGCGTTTAGATCTAGTAATGGTGATCTTGTTTAAAGCTATACCGTTAGAAAGTACAGATGGAGAACGTCTGGAGAAGTCACCCGAGTGCCTCCACCCCAATTTATGTGTCAACCCTTACCACATCAATGTCTCCGTCCGTGAGCTAGACCTCTACCTGGCCAACTTCATTCTCAGTCATGGTAATTAGCTGCTGTTATTTGTTTTTAAAACATTTAGTTTTATAATATGGTATAAGGAATCTAAATTCTATGAGACTACGTAAAAAGGTTACGAAATAGTAATGATTTCACTCTTGTCTAGAAATAATTGAAATATAAAAATTTAGTATGGTGTGTGTCTTAACTATGTGTAGTCTTTTTTTTTTTTTTTTCCTGAGCTGCTCTTTATCTACGGCATTTAAGTGTGATTTATTTCAAGCTTGTGAGGGAAAACAGAATATTGACTTTTTAATTTGAATCTTCGATAATGTTAGTTAACATAATTCATAACAATGAAGTTTGTCATTAAAGATTAATTATAATTTATTACCAAGTAAATTCATGTATCATCATCTCTTCTAGATTCTTTTTTAAAAAGCTTAGTCTCACAGGATGAGTATTTATTAAATTATTGAACCTTATTTGCTTGTTTAAACAATCAAAGACTAATTATTTTGTATTTTATAAATACTTGACCTATACTATAATATGTATACTACTACAGTGTTTCTCAAATTAGGATTTGTCAGCCACTGATAGGTCATGAGCTACAGTTAACTCACTTCTGCCATTTAATAAGTACAGTGCACATATAACTGGAGAACCTACTGTAACAAACTGTTAGGAATAAGCTTTTAATTGCATATTGCTTAATAATTGCATTGAAATTTTGAATAAAAACGACTAAACTGCATGACTACAAGTAGAATGCAGATATGGTACCACTGAAAACAAATGAAAACACAATGGGAACAGTGTCTTTCCTTACTTTGGATTTTCAGTAGCATGACTTCTGAATTTTTTTACAAATGTGTTTCAAATAAATTTGTAATACCGAGATTAAGATATGTCTGACAAAGTCAGACAAGGGAAGGAGACAGGTTGAGCTTCAGTGGACATCTGTTTATTTCATTAAATTTTATACATTTTATTATACAGTGGTGCATTGACTTAAGAGTTTAATTCATTCCGTGACGGAACTTGTACAGCAGAGCATCGATTAACCGGTTCAATTGGGGACTGGGGTTGGTCGGATAACCGAAAAGTATGAAAAAATACATTATTAGTATAGTATATTAGTATACCCCACATAATTAGTATATTAGTATATTATTTTTTATTTTTATTAATTGATATATTATCAGTTTATTGATATTTTTGAATTTTTGAACATATTGTTCCATTTATGTTGTATTCCATTTTAGTATATTCTATCCTGATGATGATCCGTTAAGTGGATCGAAAGCGTTCGATTTTAATAAAACTCCCTCAGCAAGCAATAAGGTGGTGGTCACGTTATTTGTTTATTTTTGCTGGGTACGATTGTATTCAATATTAATATATTGCTATTAACCTACTTTGCATTGAATTTTCATCAATGTTATGCCTAATAAAATTTTTTTTAAAATAATAATTGTTGCTATTGTATCGTTAAAAATTATTTTTAAATTATTTTATTGCTCACAAAACAACCATTCAGAATTAGAAAATTAAGACTTGTTTAAATACTGGCCTCCCTTTCATGGTCGAGCCAGTGTTGCCAGCTAAAACATGCAAAAATTTAACAAAAATAATATTAAAGTAGCCAAGACACAGCCAAATATTGTAGCGCCACATCACTAGCAGACATTTGAATTTGCCGACTAGAATGCAGTCAGTGAACCGATGTGACTGTTGATCGGAATTCAGATAATCGATGCTCTACTGTAACTCATATAAAAATTGTACTTAATACTGTAACATATAAAAATTGATTTTTTATATGTGAAATCAATTTTCCCTATTGAAATCAATTGAAATGCCATTAATCTATTCCATATTCCCAAAACACTGCATTTTTTTTGTTATATGTTTTTAAATAAGAAAAATGTATTTATAAAAACACAATAGAATGTACTGCAATAAACTGGTTTTGCAGATGTTGCGGCATTCATTGCATAGATAAAAAAGAAAACATGGAAAATTCGAGAAATGAGAGAATGTAGCACTGCACACAACACGGAAGTGAACTAATGCTTACATCATTCGATTACGTGTTCTTCTATAAACTAGCCTGTCAGGTTTGGAAGAGTAATGAAAATGACAAATTTACGGCAGTTTTCTATATTTTTTTAATCTATGGTTTGCTGTGGTGTTGGCTGTGCCAACTAGCGGAGGGTATCTGAAGTTGGCTCGTAAACCGAATTTTAGCTCTCAACTTAAAGCAAAAAATCGACTGAGAGATGGCTCGTATCGTAAGTTGGGACGCTTGAAAGTCAAGGTACCACTGTATTTATTTCAAAATTACTTGTATATTTCATTTTTACCTAGGGTATCTATCATTCATAAAGTAATAAAGGTTTTAAGGGTAAAAATTTCAAGAAAATGTGGACATAATTTATAGAACCCCCTAATTATGGTGTCAAACATCTGGACTAACTGAGACCGGCCCATTTGGATTTTCGAATATTTATGTAGATTAATATTATTTTTTGTTGGCCTAATCTGGACTTTTGATATTTAGACTTTCGATGCTTCTCAGTGTTGTTAATAATATTGGCAACTTTAATTAAAATTATTTAAAAATCATTTTGTTATTTACAGAAACATTGAGTGGTGTAAGGGAAATGTGTGATAATGATAAAGATGATAACCAAAGTAAGTTTTACAGATATATTTTTGTTATTTTACATATTTGTTAATTGATTTAAGTGTGTATACACGTATATATATCAAGGTTGCGCAATGATAAGTTTAATCTTTTAATGAAATCATCAAAAAATATATATTAAATCTATAACAAATGAATTTTATGGCATCAATTATTAAATAAAACAAAGTTTCGAAAGTTGTTTTATTTAATATTTTAAATTTATTTAGAGATTAAAATTGATAGTTGCAAAATTACATTGAATACAATTGCTTTCACATTTGGACTTTCACATTTGGATAGTCTTCCATTATTTTTAATATCCGGTGGAAATTAAGTTAAGTCTTAACTGACGAACTGTATAATTAAGTAATTGTGATTTGTAGAGAGATAATTTTTGTTTATTTTTAAGATTATCCATTAAAAACAGCCAATTTTGCCGCTGTTTCTGTTATAACAAAAGAGAGATGTTTTAAAGGGAACGGGTGACCTTACAATAAAAGGTCCAAGCACTTTCAAGTATTCGATAAGTATTGGAACAGCAACTCAAAAATAGACAAGTATTAAGCACTTGAAAATGCTTAAACTTTCCTTTTTTATAAACTCTCCTGTACTATTAAAGCATTTTTAGCTCTAATTTAATTTCAAGTGTCAATGTTTTGCTGCTGTTTACACAGGCATTTCATTTTAGTGTTATGTAATGTATAAATCAACAAAAATTATAAGATGATATTTTAAAGTTATTTCGAGCAGTTTGCTGTAATGACACGAAAATATCTAATTAAAATTTTTTTGGATTACTTTTGTAAAACAAGTATTTTCAATAGTATTGTGCTATTGAATGCGATTGATATTATGTAGGAACACTTGCATATGCGCACTTACTCACTCGCAATGCAGTTAAATATCTACGTATTTCATACATTAAAAACGTCATTTACTATAACTTCCAATATTATTTAATAATTTAAATGATGTAAAAGCCAGTTTGATTTGTAGGTTATGTCCTTTTAGCTAACATCATACAGTTTTATTTCAATACTAGAGAAAATAATCTTACAGTAAGGCAGGTAAGCTGCAGAAGTTGCCAGATTCTCGAATTTGAATTGTCTATGATATGTTTGTCTTAGTGAAAATTCATTAAATGAAATTAAACTTTGATTGCCAACCTTGTTTGATTTGCTTGTAGTTTCGAAAAATATATATGTATAAACTGTTTTAGACGTAAAGTTTGTTTGTATTTATTATGAATTAAATGTTTAATTTTATATGAAATTTTAAAAATTCTGTATACTATGGCAATGTTGTATTCAGCTTTACTTAGTATGGGGTCATTCTGTATTTTATTATGAATTAATTATAACTGCATCATTTTAAAAATTCTCTCAAATTTTATGCAGTTTATCTTAAATACTTTTACTATTTTATATTTGATTTAGAAATGTATAATTGTTTTTTTTTTAATCATTGAAATGTGTGGTGCAAAGTACAGTTAATTATGTTTTCAAATTATCGTAAGTTATTTACAAATTTTATAACCAATACTCATATGAAAATATTTATTAAACTGATTTTTTGATGCTTTCGTCATGAATTTTGACACCATTTTTACAAACACTTAACATGCAGTAAGTAAGTTTCAATTATTTCTCCTCTGTTTTGTGGTTATTAAATTATATTCTTGAGTTTGTTTGTTTTATTAAGTTATGGCAATGCAATACTTAGGCGATCTTCCTAGGGGGAATTCCTTCCGGGAAGTCCTCTGTTCAGGCATTACAGACATGGAGAAAACTGGAAAACTCCACGTGGCCAGCTCATTCTGGTGAGGCGTGAACCCATGATCGAACTCCCAGTGTTTAGAGAACAGAACCGCTTAGCCACTGGTGGGTCTATACACTTGAGGTTTTTTGATCTCTTTAATAGGAACTGTATACTGTTTATTAGTTCTTCATTATTGGCATAAACTAATTCATCATTTTACAAAAAAACAGCAATATAAACATTATTTTTATAGCAAACTAAACATTATTTTGAAATATTAATGTGTGGTGCATTTAAGCAGTTATTATTTGTAACAGAATGCTATATTTATAATTAATTGATGTGAACATAAACTCGTTGAGACTGGTTTTATCGGGTATTTGCACTTAGCCCCGTAAGACTTTTTAATTCTGAAATTTAAGAAAAAGGGCATTTGCTGGCATTTAATAGATAGAGCGAAATGCTTTCTAGTGTGGCAGCTAGAATCGAAGAGTGCTGACTTCTACCAGAAGGGCTTAGAAGGATGGTGATGCCATGTGGAAAGATGTTTGAACTGCAAATCACATACATTCCATTTAAGTCTTTTTACTTATTTTCTGGAAACTTTTTTTTTTAATGCCCTTCGTATGTTGAATGAAAAAATACTGAATTGAGGATTTAGCATACAGTAGAAGCTCCATATTCATCTATTCTTTTAATTGCATATTTGCAACTGTTTTTTCCCCATATCTGTGAAGCTAAAATTCTGTTATTCACAGAAGGATTTATAAATATGATGAAATAATGGATATAAAGTGATAATTAAACAACTTAACAATTTCATCCTAAAGTATTTCTACTGTAATTTGTGTTATCATCTGTTAGATCAGCATTTCTCAAACTAAGGATTGTGGCCCAATATTGGGTTGCATTAAAATTTTAATATGTTGTAAAACGATACTATCTTCCACAGAAATATTTGTAATACTTGTATTAATGAAATATTTTCTAAGAACAATAGATGCATCTGTTAGATACTGAAAATTTTTAACAACATTAAATAGCAAATTTTATATATATAGTTTATAATATAATATAAATTATATTATATTTTATATTATTGGGTTGTGGAACCATTACAAAGATATATATCGGGTTGCATGAGCAAGACATTTGAGAAAATGCTGCGTTAGGCCATTCTAGGGAAGACACTCTCGGTTTCTCATTGTTAGTATACGTTGTCGATTTGTAAGGATAAAAGAAAAGTCAATTAAGATTTTCTCGTGGTGTCATGTTAAACTAGACTTGCTTTTAATGTTAATAAAATATTTTATTTTCTTTAATTTTGTTTAAATAAAGTTTAAGGTTTATGAAAAGAAATTGTATAAGTAGGTTTACGGCAGCCACTGTAAGTGTCTAGAAGAGCCACTTATGGCTTCAAAACCATAGTTTAACCATTAATTTTCTCTCTCTCTTTGCCCATAATATTTGAAATTTTGTCTTTATATTATCCATATAAACCTTATTTATAAATAGGACTTACTATACTGGTGTAGTTAATTAAAACAAGAGTTTTAATTAATCAAAATGTTAGGACTAAGAATGTATCCAAAAATACTTGATTCAGGTCATCGGTTTCTCAAATTAAGAATTCTTGGATACATTCTTAATATCATGGTGCAAATGTCACCCGGGGTTATTGATATCTGGACTAGTGGCATGCTTGAGATTTAATCTTCAGGAAGACAAGTTAAATGGATAAAAAATTTTTAACGTAAACTCGATAAAATTCTCACCTTATGCGATCGCTAATTCATAAGTAATATAGAAATAGAACACACTCCACAATATTAATAAAAAAATGAATTTTAATTAGGAAAATATTTCTGGAAAATATACTAGTGTTTCTTTTCCTTTTACATTGTGGGTGCCAGGACCCCTTGGCCTACTCCCTGGTTAAGCCACTGATCAGGACTATTGTATAGAATGAAAAAATTACAAACTGCACAAATAGATTTGGTTTTAATTTCATTTGTAATAATAGTTTTTTTCTTCATAGTAGAAGGACTCTTTTAAAATGATTAAATTATTGTAACACCATACAAAGACCCACAAAATGCAATGGGTAATTCGTCTCAACTTGTCTGCAACTTATATTCAGTAATGTCATATTTTTAGACCTTACTTACAATATATAGCATAGCATAGATTTTTTTTAGATTTTTCAAGACATCCTTATGTGTAGCATAGTTAAATTTATCGATAAATTTAACTCGATCGTTTGGCTATGTATCTGTATAGTTTATGTTGACTCCAAAGCAACACTGCTTAACACTTTCTATTTTACGGAAAGTAATTATCAGTTTTATGAGATATTTCCCTCTACAATAGTAATTGATTATTTAATAAGTAGACTTACCATGATCTAAATTCATTTTTCGTAATGAAGAAATGTGCGCTAACTTTTTGAACAGATAGCAGAATAGAAGAGATGATAGAACAATCCAAAAATAATAATAGAGTTTTGGAAGAAATGTATAAAAATAAACATTTGATAAGATTGAAATCACTTAGTTTTTGAATGTAAGTAACAACTAGAGACAAGATCTTCTTTTAAAGTAGAAGAAAACTCAAAAGACTTAAATAGAGCATGTGTATTAAAGAATGTAATTTCAGTTATCAGTTTTGAGTAATTTAAAATTTTAAAGCAGGAAAGAATAACAGAAGCGGAATGAATCAAGTGAATGGTGTGTTGTAAAAATTGGCTTTTCTGTTCAGAAAACCTAGTGTAAATAGGAATGTCACCTACCTAGTTTGCAAATAATTGCACTTTCGAATCTCATACCATTCTATATCTTCGTTTTTGGATTTCTATGAATGAATCAATCATTAACATTACTATTACATTTCTTTTAAAAAAACAAAGATAAGCAGAAATTTGGAAAAAATTGATTATAAAATGAAGAATTTTTTAATAAACTTTATCATATCTGATGTTCATCAAGCCGTGCCCTGAAGGGTGTCATCTTACATTCACTCATAGGAATACAGGATGATTTTCTTGCTAGGAATCCAAACATTCCTCGATAACTCTTTATTGCTTAATGGTTTCCTACGAAAATTTATCTGCACTTCTTGTAAAATGAGATATCCTTAAAGCAGATGTTAAAAAAATGGCCCTCCGACATCCGAGCAATTTTGTATGCAGGTTATTGAGGAATGTTTCAGTTCTCTATTAAGAGAACCAATCTATATTTTAAACATTATT